TTTTCTGCATGGTTCAGCTAAAAAAAAGCCAGAAAAAGCTAAAAAAAGCCAAAAAAACCCACCCCACTGACCCCCAAACCTTCTCCCCGAGTCGCTCGGTGAGACCCCGCAGCTTTTGTTTGCCAGCGGTGCGGCGCCGGACCCCATCCGTGTCCCGAGACCCCACGGAGCTCCGGCAAACAAAAGCGGAGGCGTCGGGCTCCGCCGAGGATCCCACTCCGGTACCGTCGGCGGAAAACGCGGATTAAATCCCAGAAATTCCCCCGTTACATCGGAGACGGCGGCTTCTCCGCGTGCCTTGGAGCTTTCCCCCGCTCCGGGGCAGAAGTTTCAACATTTTGCCTTTTTTCTGGATGTTTTTTTTCCTCTTCCACCCCCCAAGAAACGTTTTTTTGGGAGAGGCTGCGCCTTCCGTCGGGTGGGAAGTTTGTTGGTGAAACGGAGCCGGTGGTGGAAACGGTAGGACAGGGAGAGTGGAGCAGGCAAGGCATAAAACATGGGGAGAATTCCAAAGTTTCTCCCTTCTTCTCAAATTTGAAGGGCCATCAGCATCCGGAGCGACGTCGGGAATCGGGCGTTATGGAGCGCGTTCGTGGGTTTTAACCGATTCTGTGGTTCTTTTCCCCAAGAGGCGTGAATCCGGTGATGCCGCAGCGTCGGCTCCGGGGTTCTCCCTAGAACCCAACCTCGATGGTTTTCCGGAAGAAGCGATAACCTCCGTCGTTGGGAATCTCAGGAGACGAGGCTCTGGTTTCTCGGGCTGTTGGAGCGTTTTCTGACCGTCGGAACGCGCTTCCGTAGGTCGTTCCGACTCGTTTCTTACCTGTGCTTGGAGGAAATTAAGGGAAATTCGGGAAAAAATAACTCTGTGTGGAGTGTGTGAGTTCTTGGGGGTCCCATCCGGAGGAGGAGTGTTCCAGGAGGCTGACTCCCATGGGAAGGTGCCTCATGAGATCCCACAGGTAACGGGAATAATTCTCCCCGGACACTGACATCTGGGTTTAATTAACAATTAGATCCAGATTTGGGACAACACCAAACTCCTCCTGTGCCTAAATACTTGCAGGGTTGGAATCAGAGGGAAATTCCAACTCTTGTGCCGTAAAATACCGAGTCCGCGCCGCGCCAGCGGCTGGGAGAAATGAGCTTTCCCTGTTTTATCCTAAAAAAATTCTTCCTGGGGTCGCGAGGCTGAGCTTTGTTTGTAAAACATCGGCGCCGCGGAGTTTGTCCTTAGGATTGGTCGGACTTACTCGCAGCTTAGGAAATTATGGGATTTGGGAGCTGTCGGTAGCGATTCCCGGCGGGGAACGGGCCGGTTCGGGGAAGGTTCCGGTGGAAAAGGGCAAAAGGAAGCGTCAGTCTGGTTTTGTTTTGAGCGGAACCCGTTCAGAACGGAAAGAGTCCCAGAGGAGCGGGATTTAGTTGGGAATAACGGGATCACGGAGGCGCCACTGGTGTTCAGCGGAGTTCCTGAAATCCGTGGTTGCGCGGCGGTTTTTGGGGGGGCCGGGG